CTCTTTTCGGAAATGAATTAAGACTTAATTAAAGTCGTTCTTTGATATGTTAATTCCTTTGCAAATATGTATTATTTTCTCCATAGGAATTAAAATTTTCATGGTATACATCTCAAATCGATTTGCTACTAGCGTACGGAAAATGCAACTTACTGATATGAATTATTACAGTAAATTTTCTGATTGAGATAAGTAGTAATAAATAAAAACAACAAATTAATGAATGATCCTTTGAAATCTGAAGCTAATGACTGTTAAAAATTTTAACAAAAAAATATGTTATTAAATTAAATTGTTAAAGAATATGTTTGTTCCAATTTCATAAAATATATAAATTTAGAAAATTGACAAGCGTTTCTCTTTTTAAGTACTTATAAAATTGTTATGCATTGTTATATATATAAAATTACTTCTTTGATATTTCACGGACTTTAAAAAGTCCATTAATTTTTACTCGGCTTTAGACAAACAAATTTATTTATTTATTTATATGGAGGAACATATCTTGGACTTAAGGAGAGGAGAATATTAATGGTGAGATTGGTGAGAAGACAATAAAGTATATTTACCTTTCCATTTTAATATATTATCATCGTTTGTATTTTTATTTCAATAAAGGAGGCCCTGTCTTCAAACGATATGGTACGATTAAATATGTACATCGAATTTTATTTTGTCACGAGCGGGTATATATACAAATAGACGTCCGGGAAGTGGCTCTAACTATGTTTCTTCGTTCTCTACGAGTATCTCGGACCGCGGAGGCTGATCATCATCGCTCGCAAACGATCTGAGCGCAAGCATCTGTAAAATCACGATCTACAAAATCGTAAATGAATACAATGTATGTCAAAATCACCAGTGACTTTATATCGAGTTCAACATATTGAGTTATACAAGGAAAAGACTTGTCATGATATAAGAACGTAAGCTTTACCATTGCGTACAATGATAACAGAGCTGATCACATTTCTGCCCCTAGTGCAAGGAATATAAAAAATATAATAATGAACGGATAAAAAATATAATAATGAACGGATAAAAAATAGGACTTCCGAACAATAAAATATTCAACAATAAAAAATTGATGATTAAAAGGATCGTTGGAAGTTGCTGCGGAAGATAATGCGCAACTTTCCATATGATAAAACCCTTTAATGACATATAAATTAAAGTCACATGTATTAATTTTATTAACTGAACGATATATAAACTGAAAGTCATAAATATTACCGATTTTAATACGGAATTTAAACCATCTTCAGCAAACAAAAATTGACAATTAAAGAGAATTGACTGCAATAGGTCCGTTATCTTTTCTTGATATATATTATGATTTCCATATATCTTGTCCAAGGAGGAAGATCCTTTTAATCGTCAATTTTTTATTGTTAAATATAAAAAAATTATTTAAAAACATATTTGCATTTCTAATATCAAATTAAATATTTAATTTTGCATTCAGTGTCTCTCTTTATATCATAAAACTTATTATTTCCAACAAAAATCTGTGCCATAAAATAAAAGATACGCGGAATGCACTATTATAGTCACGTGAAGTAGTAAAACTGTTAATACAACTTACGCTTTTAAGATTTTTGTATTTGGACAGAATAATACTTTATATCTTACGATTTTGCACATCGAAAAATTTTCGTGTCAATCATTAACAATATGGAGGTCGGAAATGGCGAATCCTCCTCCGCGCTCTCTCTTCTGGAATTTACATACCACAATGGCGTCTAGATAATATGCACAATCTTTGCCTTAACGTATTAATACTGTAGAATATTGTTTATGTCAAAATTCACTTGTCACCGCCTCCGTATGCCTTTATCCTATACTCTACAAGAGATATTTTGCTAGTTTCGCCGATCGACGATTGACGACCGCTGCTGGGCTCGTGAGCGCCGCCCGTTGATCCAAGGGGTTTCGAAGGGCGACCGACCGACATCCGGTTTACGTTTAACTGAACGCTTCGGTCGTGCGTATTCTGCTATGTAAGTTTGTACGCAACTTGCCTCGAGTTACGAGGAGATATTCGGCCGACGAGCGCAAATCGGACACACTTCGTGAGGCGTTACTCGATTTGATCGGATTTATTGATCGTTTAAGGTATCGGTGTATCAAGCGAGGTCCTTTTTCACTCATCGCTTCGCACGGATGTTGTCTGTTGCCGAGCATCCTGTATATTTGCTGCTGTAAGCAGGATATTCGATGAGGCACAGTTGTCGAGTAAACCGATATTTCTTGTCGAAAACTGAAACGATTTGTCTCTTTTATTTCTTCTTTTATTGCGACGTAAATGGTCAGTGCACTGCAAAGCGTAGTTTAGACGAGAAAGATAAATAAATGAAAGCAATGAATAAATGAATGATACTTTGAGATTTGAAGTTAACGATTTTTAACAAAAAATACATCATTATTAAATTAAAAGAATGTGTTCCTTTCAATTTTATCAATTCAGATTCTCTGTTTTCGGATTTGAATGTTTATGTGTCGAATATCTAAATTATCTCTGTGGACACGCGATCTAAGTAGATAATAATTAATAAAAAAAAGCGATAATTATTTATTATTCCTCTAAATGGTCTACGTACGTAGTACGTAGTGATAATTTAAATATCGCACACATAAATCAATAGTTCATTGATGTTTGTCCACGTACTCGATGGTCATAAAATGATATAATTATTTTATGAAAGATATCATCGTTAGTTCCTCATGTACCAATTATTAGCATTGAGTATTTGTTATGTTACCGAATGATTCACGCCGCATATCGCATCTCGAAAACGATGTCCTGCAGTTTTGTAATTGTAAGTTCAATCACGTATTAGCGAATTAATGAAAAGTTAATAATACTTAAAAATAAATACTTAAAAAAATTTATTACATATTTACTCTCGTGACGGTTGACACCAGCACATTTGTACCTGGCGTTATATTGCTTTATAAAATTAAATAATGTACACCTAGATCTCTCGATAATATAAAGTCGTATATGTATACGTAATACATAATCGACCTTGAGCCAAATATTTATGCCTTTTAAAAATTATTCGCGTAACTTTTATGGCAAAATCTGTCATTTCCTATTCACGATTTGAAAAATAATTTAGCATGAGACTCGACATACACACATATATGTAATAAACGTATCGTGAATGATAATGGCAAGTTGATCAAAACTGATCATCTTTGTCTTCACTTCAGCTATGTAATAAGTTTGCGCAACACAATTCCTTTTGTCTATTGCACAATGCCGACTTGGAACGAGTCCCGAACAAATTTTTCAATTTTACGTGTGCAATCCGCCCGAAAATTTTGTACTAGACTGAAAACATAGGTTTTTATTGGCTGGCTATTTAGTGGCTACTGTTGATATTGTTATATCAAAAACATCACAAATAACACAAATAAACGCCTAAGAAACGCTTTGATTTCTTTTACGCTTTCCGTGACGTTTCAGATAAAAACTCAATTTCCCAGGTTGACATTAATAATTAGCCCATTGTGTGTCTCAATCATGAACACATACTCACTGATCATAGATACCTGCCAATTATCACATTGATAGTCTCTATAATCGTCGAAAATATACCCACCGATCGTCGATAGTCGCAATATTAATCTCTTTGATTTTACACGTCACCAACGTACATTAGATCATCCATTGGTAACTGTTGGTACCAAGAACAAGATCCTTCTTCAATCAGGTTCACTCCCTAATGCACACACGCACACATACACACAAACGGACGATCGCTTCGCTTTTTTTTGTCTAGCTTCTTGTACTTTCGTCACGTCCAGCACCGTCGGTGATTTTCCCCTCGATCATGGAACGAACTCGCTCTCGTCGTTCGATATACCGCTCGCACTGCTCAGATGACTTTCGCCTGATTTAGAATGTCTTTGGGCGAAAGATTGTTCGCTTACTCGTCACGCCATCACAAGCACGAGGCCGGTACGGCTGGCAGCGGTGCGCGCCCTTGGCGTATCTTCAGTTAACCTTCAGACCATCTGCAAACCTTTCGTGATGCTCTCGACGTGTTCCTTGGCTCGCATCCTGAGCGCTTGGATGCTCGAGGTACGCGGATCATGTCCCGGCGGACTCGGCGGTGGTGGTTGCACGTGGCCGCCGGCACTTATGCTCGCCATACTGCTGGCTAGCGAGCCTGCGAACAATGCGATTTCTACTTCTCGTTGGTATGCTCGATGATAATGATCATGATGAACGCTATCGTAATGCTGATTAACTCGTTAACCCGGGAATAGTCACCTGGGATGTTTTTACACCCCAGCGCACAGTGGTTCCAAAAGCCTCTAAACCTGGTCAAAATTATTTATATATTATTTATACTAATTTTTTAATAAATTTTGTATAAAATGCTTCTTATTATTTGAAATAATAAAAAAGGCACATAATGATATATGTCATGATAATGTTTTTAACTTACTTTACAAATTATTCGCTATCATCACAATTATCAGAAACATTTGACGTTTTGACCGTAAGATTGATTCCGGGACTTAATAGAGTGATGACATCTGCACACAGACACCATATCACGTATTTATTTATCATGAACATATTAAATGTCTCTATTAAATATTTTATGATATCAGCTAAGAGGGCAAGATGTGCAATTTTTTAAGGGAATTTAAAATTATCATTTCAATTATATTAAAAATGAAGTCTTAATTGGGCATCATCAGTCTTTTATTGTAAATATTTGAATGATTTGTTAAATTAGACTAACAATAAAAGAAATATACAAATATAGTCTAAATATTAATGCTTATTTTAATTGACTTTGGTTATTCTTGTACATATTGTACTTTAATTGTTGGAATAAATATAAAAATTAAAAAATGGTAAAAAATAAGATAAAAACGCACACATATTACTACGTACCATTCATATTTAAAAAAAATAACAAAATATATATCTTAAATTTTTAAAACTAATGCTACAAAAAAATAATTTAGAAGATTGTTTACTTTCAATATTTGTTTTAAATAGAAGAAAATAAAAATGTCTTTGTCGTTAGTTCTATAATTTTTCGATATAGTATGAAATAATGATGGCAATTTAATCATTGAAAACGAAGTTAGGCCATCTTTTAAAGGAATTGGAATCACTGTGCAGCGACGAGAAAATGTGAATTATTGTAAAATGAATACTATTTTCTTTCATTTTACACATATTTTCTTTTTTCTTTAATAATTATTCTTTACCTTTAGTATGCAAATTCCTTAAAAATTCACAATAAAAAAAGCGTTATGTTAATTAAAATATTCATTTTTTAGAAATACTGTTATAATAAGTTGCTAAGAGCCGGTTGTTCCATCTTCGGATAAATTATGTGCGGTAATTTACCTACTGGATAAACAAAAGAGTAAAAGAGTATAATAGAGTAAGAGAGCAAGACAGCTTAGAAAGGTGGAACAACCCAGCCTTAGTGTGCTTGTTTCATATGTTTGAGTTTCACTTTTTTCAAAAAATTGTACAATAAATCCATAATGTCCTCAAATGCCAATAAAACAATCAATAATGCACAATATGTTGTTTATAATAACGATTTCAATTAGGGTGTAAAAACACTTCAGATAATTGTTTACGTAAAAAGAAAAGGGATGACTACCCCCGGGTTAAGCATGCTTTGCGTTGCAAGAACTATCGTATACACATAATTTTTTCAATAAATACTATTTCTTATTTTTTTATTTTGTTATATTCTAATTTTATATTCTCAACTGTGAATGTAATGTTTTAAATTTATTATAAATTATCTACGTTATGCTTGGCAAAAAAGAGGAATGTATTAGAAATAAGTGTTACCTGGAACGGGGTTGGGCACAGCACCGACATTTGGCGGTGATGGTAATCGCCTGGGAGACGTCAGATAACTGGGATACCCCGTATGAGGTGCAGCGAGGAAACCGGGAAGTGCGCTGAGCAATCCTGGCGGCGCGAGCCAAGGATCCCCTGGCAGACCTAGAGCTGGACCGGCAACGTTCCTGAAACGAAACATTTCCGCGCTATAATTGCTATATGTATATTTAGCGTTACAAGGATTTATATGGTATCTGCTCTATTAATGTAAGCATTCGGACAAACCTCATATTAGCAGCGTGATGGTATTCGCTCAAACCTAGTCTCGCAGCCTCCATTTTCTCTTGTCTACGCCACTTGGCTCGCCTGTTCTGGAACCAGACCTGGAACATAACGTATAACGACAATTTGTCATTATTTAATCGGAAAAACGTGGAGAAAAATTTAAACAATGAAATATACTTGAATATATATTTACTTTAACACAAAGGACTATGCCCAGTTTTATAGGGGAATTTGAGCTCCCCGGATGAACAACTTTAAAATATACCTCTAAAATTTTAAGATATCAAAGAATCAAAAATTCCATAAGCCTAACTTTATAGGAGAGGTTTTCTGAGTGCTCCTAGAACACACATATATTGGCCATATTTCAATTAGGCAATTAAAATCTTTCGTTTCATACTTTGAGTGTCTCTCTCCCCTCTTCATTGATTAATATATATCACTTATAACTATTCATTTGGAGTCCAAAAAAGGTTTTAGTTATCTTCGTCAAGATTGAACATATTCTAGATACTAGATGATTCGAAAAATCGAATAAAACCAGTCTTACATGGTACGCAATACGTGGTCATACTACCGAACTTTGAACAGCTGTATCACTCAAGGGACTCATTTTACAAAGTTATGCATATACTTTTTAATTTCCTTTTTTGATGCTCTACAATCCTAGCTAGATCTCAATGTTGTTCAGCCGAGGCCCAAACTGGGCATAATCTTTTATGGATCACTTTAGGAGCGTGATAAATTCTATCATTTTTCTTGCTTTCAACTGATAAGTGACAGTATTAGCCGTATTTAATATTTTGCATAATTTCGCAAATTCATTAAGCTCCCTAAGGCGTTTGGCTCGACGTAAATCGGGGAACAATAGCGGCACAAACTCTCATTAGCCGCTGAGACGCGATAATGGTAACGTGTCACTACCGTATACTTGAGGAAGAGGCCACCCTCCTTTCTTCCCCATTCTTCCCGCCCCGATCTCAACAGCAGACTTCGAGGTATCGCTCTTGACTTCGTAGAATGTTCGACTTGTTATTATTAATACTATGATTTTCTCATATTACTACTATAATCATAGTTTTTCAAGATAAAACAATATTCTATTTTTTTTAGATAATTTATATTTTTTATGTAAATATTATGTATTTAAATATTTATATTTGATTATTTTATAACAGAAGAACACCCAAAAAATAGAACAATAAAAAATGTATTAAAATTATTTAAAATACTTATTTTCAGTGAGAAAGGAAAACAGAAAAGAAGAGAATTTTGATCCTTTTTATTGTTAGTGCATTATGTCACAAATATCTCTAATAAAAGTGTCTGTTAAAACAATATAATTTTTATTAAACTTAACCTTATTATTACCGTTTTGCACTTGGTTGACCATAGTCAGTTTAATGACAGCTTTTATTTGACGATTGTTAATAATACACTTTTGTTAATGAACTGTTTAACGGTTTACTTTTCAAATATAAAAATTGGAAGAGGCTCTATTTATTGTATACTAGGACTGGATTTGTGCAAACACCGCATATTATATACCTAATCAAAGGTCTGTTTTCTGTGGCTGGACTAGTGTACACTTTTGGAACTTAAAGTGAGATAGGTATATAATATGTTTGATATTTGTCGAAAGCGAGTAAAAGAGTTATAGTGCAGTTTAGTGCAGAAACAGAAAACAGACTACAAGTTTGAATTTTGGATATAGCTGACGATGACTTAAATTGAGCCAGAACGTCCAAATATCTTGCTAAATAATGTAAAAAGAATTAAATATAATTTGCTTTGGCACACGAATTATCGCGCAGGATTTTTTACTTTTACCTGCCCTTATAAAATTTTACTCGTTGTTTTTATTAAACTGTGTATAAAATATTTTTCAAAATATTTTAATACAGTTATATTAGTCGTTCTGCAGTTATTCATATATTAATAAAGAAAAAATATTCGTTCACATTCTTAATTAAAAAAGGAAATTTTCTTTTTAATTGCATGTGCACATTTGTAATGTTGTAACCATTAGAACTATTTAATAAATATTCTGAATGCTCGAAAATATAATCATGAATGATCTTTTGTCGTTACATTTTTTAGATTGACATTAGCACTTCTATAATTGAATTAGAAAAATTTCGGCTTGGAGGGCTGCACTTGCTTTTACCGACAGAGACCAGTTATCTGCAAAAATCTAACTGTAGGAAAACAAATGAAAATGAGCAAAATAGTAACAGTAAGTCAGAGCAAAAGTGAAAAAAGCGATAAGAAGAGCGAGAGAAGAGAGATTCAGAGGGTTCAATAGAAAATGGAGTTCCTTTGGCGGGGTGCGATCATGCAAAGGGCGAGAAAAGTGGTTGCTAAGACTTTCTCCCTTTTCTGTACTCTCTTCGTCTAACCTTATCTCTCCCTCCTTCTCTGTCTCTCTCTTCCTCCCTACATATTTCTCGATTTTTGCTCCAAAAGGAGGGTTGCAGAAATGTCTCTTTGGGCGGGTCTCCTTGGTCCAACCCTGAAAGCGGCGTTGGCTAAGAAAAGGGGGGACCAAGAAGAGGGTCGGTCGACGAAAGATCGAAGGGTGTGAGCGGCAGGGGGGAGGGTCCACCCTTCCATCGGCATTAAGAGGGTAACGAGCCCGTGGGGCGAAATCGAAAGTGAGCGAGCGACGCGACGTAACGCGACGCGGTGCGCTTCCAAGGTGGACTCAAGAAGGGAAGGGAACGCCGGAGGGGGCACCCCAGTTCACCGTGACGGCTCTCAGCCATGTTGATTTCTTTATTGTAACATGGCTGCTGTTGGCAGCTCGCTTAAGTCTATTGCGTTAAGAGCTGATGGTATCGGGATCTTGGCTTATGAATTATTCAGTCCTGGTCGAGACGCGCCCGGGTATAAGGCCCACCGGGTGCCCCGTCCGTGACGAATTCACACGCGGCGGCGAAGTGAGCGTAAACCATTCAGACCGAGATCCATCGATGAATCTTGGTTTTTGCTTCGGCAGTCTTCTAACACTTAAGAAGGGATAAATAACGCTGAGTAATCGAGTCCAGCTTCTTTACGGTAGCTGACAGCGAGGTTAGAGGATAATTGTTCGTACACGAGTTATTCGTGACCTACATACAAAGATGAACGTATATTATTATTCAAGATTCTTTAATAGTAATAATACGAAGCTAACAAAGTGTTTCGTCGCGCACGCTTTCGAGATCAGTTCTTTGCAAATTTGTTTATTAATAGGCGATGCAAAAATTCCTTCGGCGCCTCCGAAATAATCGGTAACAGGGTGAAGCGTCGCGTTCGAATAACAAGGCAATTAGCCTTATGTAAGCAAATTGAATATTATCATCGGGAATGAGTGGCGGTGAATCGTCAGGAGAAGAGAGAGAATATGAGAAAGAGGGAGGGAGAGAGAGGGGGGAGGAGAGAGAGAGAGAGAGAGAGAGACTGAGAAAAACACGGAAACGAAGTGAAACGAAGACCGAGTTAAACGTCGGAGGCATCATTCGAGGTTTGGAGTTTGATGCAGGAGAAAGGAGAGGAGTGGAAGGATAAGAGGAAAGGGGAAAAGAGGGAAGCGAGGGAGTGGATATCGGAGCATTCCCGAGCTCATCAGGACGATATTCCGCTCTCGAGAACGAGAAGCAATTTTCTTTCCTGGCTCCGTGGATGAGAAAAGGCTACGGACAAGATGCCACGCCGAAATGATGGGAAAATAAGCGAATTTCCCTTCGTATCTCTTATATATCCTTTTCCATCTTGCCCCTCCTCTTCCCACCCTTCTCGCAGTCTCCTTCTTCCACTCTCTCTTTCTGTTTCTCTCTTTCTTTCTCTCTCTCTCTTTTTCTGCATCCCACGCCTCACCATAACAGTCCGTCTCACCGTCTCGCCGAGGACCGACTCGCGTTTAGCGGCGAGAGAGTGCGGCGCTCTCTCGTTCTCGCTCCTCTCGCGGAAATATAAAGAACAGGGCTAACGCGGCTTAATCTTTTTAGGTCGTAAATTTATTAGAGCAGGTACTTCCACCTTTTCCGCTCGTCTCCGCCGACATTCTTCTTCTTATCCCTCTCTCGCCCTTCTATCTCACTCAGTCTTCTTCCTACCCGAACCGACCAGCCGGCGACGATCCTCGGCAATGATATTGCGAAGGTAAACTCGCTTAGACGGTTTAAATGCAAGAAAATTGAAATAAAATGGAAGTAATTCCGAGATTAAAATTGGACGTCGTTCCGTTGTCGCTGAGAAGCGGCGACACTTTTTCGTGTCCCTTCTCTTGCCCCACTGTGCCCTGCTTCCACCGTGGCTTGTTGGTCTCTGTGAGATTTTACGTAGCACACTCTCGCCCGAGAAACTTTGTGATGTCAGAGTTACATAATTTGCAAGATTTCGCTGGAAGGTTGACGCGCGGATAAGAGGACTAATTATCATTATCGTGTTAATGTGCAAGTAACATAACGGAATAACAGACCCAACTCTTTCGCATATAGAATCGTTGATTCCGACGTAATCGGTAAAGAGTGCGGATAACTAAACATAGCTTAATTTATTTTAAAATAATTGTCAAATGATACATTATAAATGTTATAATACTATGCAAAAATCTTTTGACTGGAATTAATGTATGCACTTAATAAATACTAAACAATAAACTAAAGGCCGCAGCACAGATTTTAACGGATAATGCGTAGTGCATAAGAGAATCAACCAAAGTTTCTCTTTTCCATAAAATGGAAGGAAAGAAAGGATTCTTAGTTGATTCTTTCTCATACTATGCGTTATGCAAAAGTTTGTGCTGCGACCTTTAGGTTATATCCACACAACTTGCATAGTCGCATAAATGTATGCATAAAGAAAATTATCCAATCGCATTTTACATGCGTCTTTATAACAGAAAAGTGATTGGATAATTTTCTTTATACGTATGTTTATGCAGCTATGCAAGTTTGTTTGGATATACTATTTAGTTTGAGTCAATATCATAATACAGCACACTTTATCCGAGAAACATCCTGGGGGACATTTTGGGAACCATAGAATTCTTAGGACGTCTCTTGGAGATGTGTGTATGGGATATTCTTTAAGTTAAATTGTTTAATTTTATTGT